AACCCGGGGATTGGTGAAGGGACAAAAACCAAAACTCCACTTTTTGACTATGCCAAGGTAGACTGAAACCCAGTGGTTCATGTCCTCCAAAAGGAGAACCCCTGGGTTTAAGTCCATCTTGGGGTAGTCAAAAAGTGGAACCCTGATCCCAACTCTAAATAGCAGCGGCCGCCTTCTTAATTCTTGAAGCATGGTTCTGGGTCGACCATTTGTGTACCAGGTTTTGATTGTGACTCAACTGGTGAGAGGCGTTAGGGACGGCTGTAATTATCCAAATGTTTGCTTTTGAATAGGAAGCCTTTGGGAGCTACCGTTCGGAGTGTAAGGATATTGCCAGTATAACCAGGTGTTCTTTCCATGTCTTGTCAAGCTGGTCCTCCTCTGAAACATGCCAGTAAGCGGGTAGGCCAAAGCTAAAACTTGTTATTCTCATGGGGTCCAGTCACTCAGTTTTGCACTCGCAACTTAGCCCACGCGCAGCTTTTTGGCAGGGACCAGGTGACCGTTTGAGTGAGACGCAGGTATCGGTCGACCTGGACCAGAGGAGATGCAGCCGCTGGATTGCATGTGGGTAGCAAAGGTGAGCATGTCTCATTGCAGGAATTGCATATGGCTGTGGTCAAAAATAAGTGCTCAAAATGGCTTGCCCTGGTACATGGAACCATATTAAGTAGCGCATGTCATGTGCCAAGGACCGGTTTCAACGGTGACTCGAACTTGAGTGCCGCCAGCTGAAGATCAGATGCGACATGATGCAGCTGTGAACGGGTTCTCAGATTGTAGGTCAACTTTGCAAGCAAGCAAAGCATGACGGAACACTTGCCTTAAAGGCATGACGGAGCCTTTGCCGAAGCTGCAAAGTCGAAAACTCCGAGAATTCGGGCAAAGCAGTGCGGAAAAAGTCAATAGTGATGGGAACTTCACTCTGACAAACTGCGCACACGGAAGGCTGGCACGTGCCATTGTGTTTTAACGTTTCTGTGTTGTGGAGCGCTTTCGACTCCGCACTCCCACCCGTAGTCATGGATGATCACTGCGCTGTCAAGCATATTTGCAAGCCTTTGATCAGTGTCTCACCGTAGGTGTATGCATGGTTCAGTCTGTGTGCTGAGCATGTAGCTCGCTCCTGACATGAGGTGAGACAACGTAAAAGGGATTGTGCAACTCTTCTGCTCAATTGCAAAGGCAACCCAGCACAATTTAGTACAGTGACTTAGAGACTCACACTGAGGTTTGGACTTCTTTCACGAATACTGAGAGTCTTGACCTCAGGCAGTAGATGTGAAGCGCAATACCGTATGCCGACAAATATTATATTATATATATATATGTTAAATATATATATAGCAGACTGGCCCTTAAATCAGACAATTCCTTAGTAGGAATCACATGCTGAACATGTCATTGGCCGTTTGCAATCCTAGGCGCAGATCCTGCCACCCTTCTTCCAGCGTTGCTGCCTCCAGCCATCGCTATAGTGCTGGCAAGGCCAGTTTCAGTATGGTTCATATGCTCAATGGACATCTGCAAACATCGTTTCTGGCCTAGTGCGATGCAGCTAAATCCTCTTGCGATCTCTGTCCAAGAGCCCATCAGCCACAGCAAGGCCTGCAAGTGTTTGATGTACGTGCAAGTGTGCGTGTGCATGTGTTCAAGCATGGCGAGCCACTGCCTGGTTCTCCAAAGCACTTGTCCACTTTATCGCAACTTGTCAGTCATGCGCAAGGGGTCAAACAACAAACGGATGCAGCTTTGATTATAGCATGGGCTGCAATCAATGCAGGGATCCTTGACACTGCCTGGATCTTTGGCCGCGCCTATTTGGACGCAGACCCTTGCCGAAATGTTTGAGCGTCTCAGGGATTTGCCTTGTGTGCTCAAGATATGCTTCGGATATGTCGATACTGTTCGTTGAGCAAATGAACAATTTGGCACCGTCAATCATGTAAGCTGATTTCTGCTATGGGCATGTTGAGTGTCTCAGTGGAGAGTCCACCTTGTCGTTTGCAAGGCACACGTCCTTCCTCTCGCTGAATATACATATACGCAACGTCAGCGATATTCAGCGGTGATGGGCTCATTGGCAAGCGGTGTCGCCGCATGAGCTTAAGAGCGCCAGAGTTGATGCCATCATCGAGGATGCAACTTGAAGCTGAGACGCTGCTCGTGACTGCTCAGACGCAGGTTCGCTGGACACATTGCTTGATTTTCCGGATGATTCTCGCAGTTGAAGCGCTAAGTCAAGAGATTGCGTGGCATGTGCTTTGATGCATCAGCAAGCTTCAAGCCTTGCGAGGTTGGCCTGGAATCATTGGCGGAAGCCCTGACGGAGGCCGGTCTTGCACGAGCAACACCAATACGTACTACTAGTATCCTGTGGTGAAGGGGATGACATGGACCACACACACATGAGGACAAATGTGCTTACTCGAGAATATCGGATATCACAGACCAACATGCTCATGAAACCGCAGAGAGGCGCAGCCAAAATCGCCTTGCGATTCTTAAAAGTAGGTGTGCATGTGGCTCACGGAATGCTCACGGAATGTTATTTGGTTTCCTTTGGTTTCCCCTTAATACCAAGCAAAACGGGGATTCCCGTTGCTTCGAATACTCGACTGATGTGTTGGCCAAGGAGCTCGATGCAGCGTTTCCGGCCACCTCAAATCTGCAGATCGCACGACTTCGACTGGTGGTGTGGTTCTCAGGATGACTTTCAAACGGCCCTCGTTGTCAGGCGCATTTAGCACACACCCCGTTTGGGAGCGAGGTAAGAAAAAGTCGAAGGGCACCCCCGACCTTCTTAGGGGACACCCCATTTGGCTGTGGCTCAAGAATGGGCGCCCAAAATGAAACCCTGGTAAATGGGAAGGCAGAGTAAGACCTGCGTAACCCTAGGCCTTGAATTTTGAGCCACACCCATTTGAGCAGAGTGTTTTGTTTTTTGCGATGCATTCGCTTAGTATTCGGGGGGAGCTCCTTTTATGTTGCGGAGGCACTGCGTAGGCAATTCTGGTGGGGGAAGCCATTCGCGTAGGCAGTCCGCGTAGGTTGTTCAAGAAAATGCTGCGGAGGAAGGTTCGCCTAGGCGTGTTTTCACTCCTTGAGCTCCTGGCCGTTAAGGTTTTGGGTTTGCACCATTTTAGTGAACAACAAAACGCTTAAAGCTTTTCTGGCCAATCTAGTCAGTGACATGTTGCCAGCTCCAGCCTAAAGATGACAAAGTGGTGAATCCCATTTGCTCCCTGGGCTTAATTTGCTCCCTGGTGGTTTCTTGTTCTATAGATAGCTCGGTGAATCCCTGATTCGGGCCGAATGGGCCCTGTCCCTTACCGCGAAACATGAGCTCATTTTACAGCTCCATGCGGAAGGTGGCAGCAATGTCCAGGAGCTTTCGCAAGACTTCAGCAGACAATGCGTGAAACATTACCGGACATATGGCTCATGTGTTTGCTTCCATAAGCCCCATACACGAAAAGCTTCGCCTAAAAATATGCACTCACACGTGTCTCATCTTCGCTAATTCCGTCGCGTATCTTCCGTTTAGAGCCGAAATTCCTGTGACTGTTGCGGACCTATCACCACGCTGAACGCTCGCTTCTTAACATTTGTACAGCTATTGTGTTTGCTCGTGAAAGGCAGCTTCCTGTGGAGAGTGTCTGGATCAATCAGGGATGTGTCTTTAAAAGTAGGCTACTCTTCATGGGCTTGCAAAGTCTTGAGTCTTCAATCAGGCCGATGTACGATGATTGATGTTTGTGACGTTTTTTTATCGCGCCATTTGGACCATTCAGCGCCCATTGCCGTGAAGGAGGCGAGAATCGTGGCATTCCGCGAATTGATGTTTGCCATCTGAGCCCACACAATTCTAAAGAAAACACGAAAAAGACGGCTCATCTCTTTGTTTGAGGTGTCAACCAGCCCTGCGCTTCGCAGATCCGACATGTTTCTTTCGCATCCCTCGCTCGCTTTTTTTTTCCGCATGCCGAGGCGCGGGAGGGCCTCACGATTGACTTCCCCTCAATCGCAGAAACCACGACCGCGCTCCTGACTTGCTTGCTTGCGAGTTGATCAAAACCATTGGGAAACCTTGCGAGTTGGTCAAAACCATTGGGAAACCACACACACATGTGTGTTGCGTACAGCCTGAGACTCTATGTTGCTTGACCGCAGACCGCTCCAACAACCACAGAAGAATCCAAGCTGCAGCTGCAAACGCCAGGCTCTCAAAAACATGTGCCAAAATTTCACTTTGGTAAATGGAACCAAAGACTAACACCTGCGTAACCCTAGCCCTTTAATTTTGAGCCACACCCAAACTTGCCCTGCATGGCGTGCAGCCGTGTGTGAGCTGCGGATGTGATACTCTGGACGAAATCCTGCACCAACTAAGAGGTCCTAGAGGGATGATTCCCCTATAAACACCAAGGAACAATGGTTTCAACCATGGTTTCCAAGTGGTCCGAAATGGATGTCGCAACTATCCACAGCATGTCAGCTGAGAGAAAAACGCTGAGGTGGAGGGCTTGGCGAATCAGATGCTTGGAGGGCATCATTCATCGATGGGAGGCTGGGAAAGCTTGCGGACTGCGGATCGAGGGCGTTCGCTGGTTTTTTTCTTGGCGTTCACCTGTTATTTTTTGGCTGGTGAAAAAAAAAAAAACATCTTCTGTTGTTTCCAGTGGTTAGTGGTTAGTGGTTAGCATTCCAATGCATTTGGCCAATGTCAGTTTCCGCATACGCAAGGTAGCGGAGCTAGAATTCTGGGATCGATGTGAAGATGGACAGCTCTTTTCAGGCAGGCTCTCCATTGAGTGCCCTTCTGACAGTTCACTTGGCTTGGAGATCTTGGGCAAATGTATGGGAGCAGGTCATGCCATCACCTCTGCAAGCCATGCTGAGCACGTAGAGGAGATGCCGAGTTGTGACCATGCCATTGCTAGTGCGAGTGCCTTGTCAGGCAAGATGTGTTTGTTTCCATGACTCGCCACTGTGCATTTGTTCAAATCTCACTGACGCCAACATCCGACCGCATTCAAGCCAAGATCCATGAACTTGAGTTGCTCATAACGCTGTACTTGCCACTCCAGCTCCATGAAAACCCATGAGAAAAAGTAGTCTTGGAAAATGAACCAGTCTTCTAGAATTTTGAGACCCAGCATGATGGTCCAGCCGCCTGCAATTCATGGCACGGTGTGGCTTTGCGCAAGGACAATGCATTTGACGGCGATCCAGGTTTTGTGCCTGCCCACCTATCTTACCATATGGCTCTGTCTTTTTTAGGGGACGGGTGGTTTTCCTTTTGGTGTCCCCTGAAGCCACCCCCAAACAGGCTATGCGTACAAAAGGACATATGCAGCCTGCATAGCATACGTCCACGGTGCGTTGCGTGGCATTCCCATGAGCTGTGTATTTAGGTTGCTCGGATCCGTAAGCGCCAGGCGCACGGTTTGGCTTTCAGCGTGCTCGGGCTGTTCTGCTGGTACACCTTGGCTTGGCCATGAGCCCAGTCGCAAAGGAGACGATTGCTGCACATCTTTGCGACTAGGTCTTGATGCAGCCTCCAACCCTTTCCGCGTCGCCTGCGTCAATGTGGTGCAGGCTGGCAAATGTCACCCATCGCACCGTGCTTATCGAGTCAAATCACGCTAAAGAATGACAAACACAGAGATGATCATGTGGCTTGAAGAAAAACGAAGAAGCCTTGCACAAGCAGTCTTCGCAAGGGTCGGCTCAAGTCTAAAGTAGTTAGCATCCAGCCTTTTAATCTCCCTCGTGGAACGATGGTTCCACGAGTTTGTGTCGCCTTGCTATGGGTCACGTCTCTGGCTTTTGGAGTTCCAAATGAGGAGCTCAGCGATGCGTCTTGTGCCTTGTCTCTGCGAGCAGAGACACAGATCCCACATCAGTCCATTGACGGACCAAGCATCAAAGCCACCGAAGATGACCCTCAAGTGTCACAGATACTCGACTCAAAGGGTGACATGCCTTCCACGAAAGACTGCCGATGGGAATTCATTGATCAGCCTTTGTCGCATTTTGATCCTACAAACATCACGTTCCGGCAACGAGTCTGCATCTATGATGGCTACGTTGACGGAGATGGCGGACCAATCTTCTTCTACACCGGGAATGAGGCAGCGGTGGATTTGTACGTCAACAACACCGGCCTTATGTGGGAGCTCGGGAAAGAGATGGGGGCGCTGCTGGTCTTTGCAGAGCACCGCTACTTCGGAGAGTCTTCCCCAAAACTGACTGGAATGAGTGGCTGCTTGAAGTATTTGAGCTCCGAAGAGGCCCTGGCAGACTTCGCCAAGATTGCCTGGAATCTCACGCGCACTACAAGAGAAGATGGCAGCCATGTTGCCTCGGCCTCCAAAGTTGTGGCGTTCGGGGGCTCCTATGGTGCGCGGCTCTCTGCTACAATGCGTCTCAAAGTACCCTCATTTGATTTCGGCTGCAATCGCATCTTCCATGGTTGTCAACCAAATGGTGGACACACCTAAGGAACAGTGGGGTAATTTTTGGAGCATGGTTCGCAAAGGAATGGACTTTGTGCCGCACTGCGGAGACGGTATGTTGGCAGCGACCCTTGTTCTTTGGGATGGTTACCAGCACGGCAAGGCCTCACTCATTGCTCCTGCGCTGAATGCTGCGATGCCGGATCTGTGCAGGCCATTGGAAAGTGACATTGATCTCTTGTACCTTGGCGTTTCGATTCAAGGAAGGCTTGAAACGCTGGCACAGTCTACCTTTCCTTTTGCATCCGACTACATGACTGCCGGAACTTGGATGGACAATCCTGTTGTGCTTCCTCCGTTTCCACTTCAAGCCTTGTGCGAGAAGTTCAACGAGACTGCGACAGGAGTCAATATCACAGGTGACATGGACGACCTTAGGTACACAATGAGGATGAATGGTCTGACGGTTGAGGCAGATTGGAGTGACACCACAAGCGATTACTCGGCTGAGGAGTTCCGCAAGAGTGGAGTACCCCAACTAGTTGCTGCCATAGTTGAGGCACATAGGAGCATTTGGCATGAGGACCCAACATCCGATTATTTGTGCCCGTCGAAAGCAAGCGCTTCTTCATCCTCACTCGGCGAGTTGAAGGCCAGCACGCAAGGGCCTGACGGTGTCTGCACAAAGGAGATTGACGCTTCAGAAGCCTGGGGAGTGCTAGTGGTCAATGACCTCAACTACCCTGTCTTTGCACCACCCACCGGCTTGGTGTATTCAGCCCCACCTACTCTTGACTTTGAGCGCGACTGGACTGTCAAGGAGAAGATTCAGAGTACGGAAGGAAGGGCAGAGAATTCAGTCCTGTCCTTGGCGAATGCTGGGCTTTTCGGGGCGAGACCGGGTAAAGTCGATTTGTACGCGGAGGAGTTCAAATTCAGTCTCAAGAGCATGGTGGGTGAAATGTCGAATGTCTTCTTCACGGTTGGAGAGCTGGACCCTTGGGGGGGGTCTGGCCTTACCGAGGACGTGGCCCTACAGAATCCGTCGAACAGATTTACTCTGATCAAGCGGGGAGGGCATCACGTCGACACCTTTTTTAGCAGCGACCAAGACTACGAGGAGCTGCGTCAGGTCCGGCAAGATGAGAAACGGTTCATCCAGGACATCATCGATGGACAGTGAGGTGCGCAAGTAATGTTCAGCATCTCGCAAGAATATGCGGAGGCACGGAAGCCAAGGAACACTTCGCGCAATGTCGCGCAGTGGCACAAGGAAAAAGCAACTGCGGAAGCATTTCGGCATTGGCAATGCATCTGTGTGTGTGGGTGCGCATGTCGGGCAGGGCGCTACGGCAACCAACATGTGCGGCCGCATTGCCGTGGAGGCGTCAAAGGACCTCACCAATTGGGAAGCGACTTACATGCAAGAGGCTGTATTTGCCACATATGATGCACGTTGACAGGAAACTTGTAATTTCCAGAACAAAGTTGTCTGCTTGGCTGGGAAGCCATCGAATGGATTCTGTTAAACCTCAAACCTCCAGCGCTGCTCTTTTCCTTTGAAAGGGTCTGCGAGGGTCGCAGGTTCAAACGCGGGTCTGTGCCTCATGCACCCGCCCTTGGAACTTTGTACCAACTCAGCCAGAAGTCTACCCTCAGGCAGTGTCGCCCCCGGTGTTCGCGCACTGTCGGCGCTGTTGCCTTCGGCGTCGGCCAGTCGAGGTGCGTCCTGGATCCCTCAAAAGCCAATCCGCTCCCGCGGCATCCTTCCTCTCGGGTCAAGCTCCACGATCCGCTTCTGGCAATGCACCCTACACCAGCACCCCGCGCACAAAACCATCTCCACATCCAACGCGATCTTCCATTCCAGACCGCAACCCCTTTCCGGGAAGGTCTGGTGAACCCCCCGGGAAGGTCTGGTGAACCCCCCGGGAAGGTCTGGTGAACCCCCCGACCTTCTTTAGCCAGGGCGGGGACAGCCGGGCCACCGCTGCCCACCTTTCTCATTTGAATCCGGGGCTCCACCGCCCAGATTTCTCTCGGAGGTCTCGCTTTCGCAAGTTCTCCCCTCCACCCTTCTCCAAAGTTATTTCTTCAGCTTCCTGGCCTTCTGTCCTCCTGTAGTTGACATACTCCCGCACTCCTCCTCCTTCCCCAGAGCTTTCAACAACTCCACCACCTTCCCTCCGACCCACTTGATGGGAAGCCCCACGCTGCGACCACCGCCAGGATGGTGCAGAAGATGAGCTCTCCGGCCGCATCATCAGCCTCCCCGCCAGCCCCGCCTCCGCCAGCCTCAAACACGCCAGGCCCATCAGAATCTTGATGCCCGCTGTGCACCGCCTTGGCCATGTCCTTCTCCCGAAGGTCTATGAGCTGGAACCTCCTTTGCCTCCAGGATCTTGGAGGACTCATGGCTCATCTTCACACCCAGTCCAGCCAACACTCTCAAGCGACTGCTTCCCAAAGCCTTCGTGCCGATGTCCATCACCATGGTTGTTCGTCCAGATGCTGCACCCGCCTCAAAACGCTCGCGCAGTCTTGAGCGGCCTCGTTCTCCAGGATCCTACGGGCCCCTGCAGCAACGTGACAACAATGATCAGCTCCAATCCACGTCAATGCCCACCTTCTCCCACACCGCCGCCCCGTTTTGGAGCACCTCCTCCTCCAAGAGGTCCTGCTGTCGACCTTGCCACGGCCTCGTGGTCCAGTGAACCGGACACGTGTGCCATAGCACACGACCGCCTGGTGTGGACTTCGATCCGGCCCCAAACCATCCGCGGACAGCTCTGTATCCGTGCCCCTCTCGTGCAGGTCCTCCGTCTTGATCCGTCTTGAGGAAGCCCAACAAGTATATCCCCATGTCATATGCCCTCTTGGCCTGCTTCTTGAGCTGGCTGACGCGATTCACCACGTAGCCGATGTTTGGTCTCGTCCGGGATCTTCTCCTTCACCTCGTTCCAGTACCTGTGGATCACATCCTTGATGTCATCCTCTTGGCCCACCAAGAACTCGCCATTTTCTGCTCCCTTAATGTGTTGTGCCATTCTCTCCAGGATGTCCTGTTCGCCTCCGGTCATCAAACCGACGACGTGGCCTCGTCCATCCGGATCTTCCAGAGGTTCTCTGCTTAGGCCTCCGACACCAGGCACTTTCCTCCTCCTGCCGGAACCTTCCGGAACCTTCCACCCCCAAAGCGTCAGAGCACGAGCTCCCCAGCCCGGCGAAGCCTTCAGCCCACAAAGGGCTTTGGTCGCCTCCCACGGGAACCAGGTTCGCCTCGGCCGGACAGCTCGGTGGCTGGACGCATTCAGAAAGGCTGTCCTGATGTCCAAGCTCTTTGTTTTCCACTTGGGTGTGGGTCAAAATTCAGACACCAGGAGACCGCAGGTTTTAGTCTGTGGTTCCATTTACCAGGGTTCCATTTTGGGTACCTATTTTTGACCCACTGCCACTTCATGGCCGCTTTAAGCAGTGCGTCCCAGCCTCTGGCCGCATAAACATTGGATCATCGCCCCTCCTTCCACTCCCTGCAACCCCACACACACTTCGGTCTCTTGCAGAGCACCTTGCTGCCTGTTGGCAACCTCGCCAGATCCAACTCCGGGTCCAAGGCGTCTTCTATTTGCTTCACCTCCGGCTCATCTCCTCCCACCGCCTGCTTCCCAACCAATCTTTTCCTCCGCTTCCACAACGGATCTCCAGCTGCCGCCCTCAGCCCAAACGGCATGTCCGGGCAAGGTCCCCTGCCTCTTCTTCACTTGCTGGCTCCCAGCCATCCGGTTCCTTAGCTTTTAGCTTTTTAGTGTTTAGTTGGGATTTCCATTTAACCCACTAACAGTTAAACTTTTAGCGAGGAATCTGAGGGCAGCCCAGTTCACAATCACCTTTTCAGACGAGCAACTGCATCTGCCGTGAGTCCAACTCTCGGATGATCCTTCTATTCCTCACCCAGCGCCGCTATTCGCCACAAGTTCGGGTTCCGCTTCACCCACCCACCACTTCCAATCGCTTGTAAGGTCCGAACGGCCGTGGTGACCGCCCATCTTCTCAAGGCTGTGCGCCTCGCACACCTAGCCGAATCTGCACCACCCGGCGGGGCAAAACCCCGTCCCCGCCATCCAGCCTCGCGCACAAAGTCCTAGCCCGGCCACGCCTAGAATTTGGCCGCGCACGGCGAAATGGAAATCCCTATTTTTTTCTCCGTCGTCGAAGCTTTCATCGCTCCACAGAACCAAAAGGAAGCTAAAGCAGAACCCAAGCATCAGAGCTGCTTTTTGGAAAAAGGAGTTTTATCAAAGCTGCTTTGCACGTTCAAGCCAGCCCAGGTACAGGGTGAGATGCTTGGCCTCAACGAACGACAGTGGCTACCTCATTTCCTGCTTGCCCTTCTCGCACTCTGCCGCGTTTCTGGTGTTGCTCCCTTTTGAAGAAGTCAGAAGCATGGCTTGGCTGTTTGTGCGCCAGGGCACCTGCCAAAGGTTTTGGGTGGACAGTCGACAGTTGTGCCAGGCATGAAACTCCGAGACAGAAGGCAAACTTCAATCGACAAGTCTGTCCCGGTAGCAATGACCAATGGAAGAATTGCATTTGGCTGCCAATGTCGAAAGATAGCCGGCGCCTGAGGTCGTTGTGTGTTCCGCGTACTCCAGAAGATTTTCCCAGTTTACAGTGCACTGTCCTTAGTCTCAGCACAGAATCAATGACAGCTTCTGTTTGCGCTGTGGATTCGCTGTGCATTCGCTTGATTCCATTGTGTTGCGGAAGACAATCAAGTTGCAAGGAGATCAGCTTGTTTCCAAAGGTGCGTACAATGTATAAGCTCAACATTGACCTATTGTCTATCAACCCGCCAGCTTCAATATTTGAACCTCTCCGCTGCTAAAGCAGAGGCAACGGTCATGAAGATCATGCGCATGAACCATTGCTTCAGTGGGTCCTTTGACACGTTCTAGTCAATGGAACTGGCCCGAAATGTTGAGTTCACATTAAATCTCGCTCATACCTTGATTTCATAAGACTGTTTTGCTTGGCCATGTATTCGGAAGTGAGGTGGCTCACTGGAAGATGGCTGCTACTTGCTTGCAGCACCGAAGTTGTGCCGTGATTTTTTTCAGGGCTCCTTAAAAGATACATGTTGCCCATTTGAATCATATGTTTTTTCCACCAAAATGAAGGGAAACCACCATTTACAAGGCAATGTTCAGGTGTATAACGTAAGGATTCCTGTTTCCGTCGTGTTTTTTTTGTTTTTTGCCAAGAGATGTGAGAAACTCCAGGCGGCGGCAGCATCCAATTTGGAGCGTGCCCGGGGCACGGGCCTTATCGTCTCCTAGACGCTGTTCAAAGGCAATCCTTCATCCTGTTCGCAAGGAACCGGCTTTCTTTCTAGCGGCTTTCCTACAGGCATTCTGAATTCTGGATGAGGATTGGGCAACCCTCCATTTCTCGGTTGTTCAAAGCCGACCTTTTGACCTTTTGGTTTTCCCATTTTGGTCCATATTTAGTCATGGCCCCAAAAGGTTAACCTTTTAGTTCCAGGTCCTTTGGGCAACCCTCCATTTTGAGCAGCCCAGTTAGAGGCGAGCCCAAAAAAACCCGAGGTCGCAGGAGATTTGCGACAGGAACCAGTGCATCTGCCAGGGCCGGCTGGAGGTGCCCAGCTTTGTAGCTTTCAGATACGCGATTGCTGATTTCGAAGTTTTTGTCAGGTCTCAGATGTGCGCTTCAGTAACTGGGAATGCGGTGATCATGAGGCAGAAGTGACACAGGTCCCAGCTCACCAGCGTGAGAAACGCCAGGACGGATGCGGAGCCACTTTGAGGCACGCTGAACATGGGAGCTTTACAGGAAGACATGTAACGCAGCGCCAATGCTCTGATAGGTTTGGTTCATGCAACTCCAGCAATGCTACCTGCTTCAACAACCGCTGCAAGGCCCTTACCTCAGTCCGAAGAGCTCTGAATCATCAGCCTTGATCGTTTTGTGCGTTGGTGTGGCACATTGATGGCTAGTACTCTAGCTTCTTCAAATCTGTGCGCAGGAAACTGCCTTTACCGCAGCGCACTGGCGATTGGTTTGCACTGGCAACACTGTGGCACGATGGGTTGTAAGAGAAGTGCGCCTTTTGCTTATCACCTCATTTCTGGCATGATATTTTTGAGGTTTAAAGTCAAATTTGAGCAGGTACGTTTTCATGCAGATGGCCTTTGCGTGATTCCCCACACAACCTACAGGTCGGACATAATGGGTGTGGGTCAAAATGAAATCACCAGCGCAGATTTTTGGTCCATGTGTCCCATTTACCAGGGCAAGCCATTTTGGGGTTAGCCTATTTTTGACCGCCACAGCCATATATGGCACGTGGCCGAGCTTGATTGCTGGCATGAAGCTGGTCGCTTTGAGCCTCTGGACGCGAACGCAGGGCAGCGAGGAGCTCAGGCTCCCAATATTCGCAGAACCCGGCGGCCGTCTCAGTTCATCGATGTCCATGACATGGCAAGGGGCATGTGCGAGTAATCTAGTCAATGGTTTGGATGTGAGCGGCTTTTCTGGATTCACCCCTGTAGAATACTAAAAGATTACTAACACAACTTGACCAACACGGTTTTAAAAAAACGGGGGAAATCCAGAAAAAGCGCAGATCCAAGCTGTTTTCTGGCAAGTAAGATCTTCAGGCACTCTTCGCTTTCGATGGAGAGACTTCCACTTCCTGGATTTCCAGCTGCCATGCTTGTGAGCCTTTAGAAGTGCTGCGCTTAAGCGACTTGTGTCCCGTCTCCCACCAGCTTTCACAAGCCTGACGTAAAAGGGGGTTCCTGGTTTGGGCCATTGTTCTTTAAAGGGAAAGATGGCGCTCAATCAACTAAGAAAAACAATCAACAGCTACAAAAACATCAGTCCCTTAAAGGGACACCCGAACGTCAGGTTCCATGTCAATCGGTGGGAGGGTAGCTCAAGAAGATCTTGAAGCAACTCCGGTCAGGCCTGGCTCAGCCTGGAATTCACCACTGACGTGGTTGTGAGGTGCGAACAAATGTCCAGTCAAAAGTGCACCGAGCTGAGCACATTCGCCAATTCAGTAGCTATGCCTGTGTTGGATGTGGGTGTGTGTGTGTGTGTGCGTGACAGGTGCGTGCGGATATATCAGCACTCCAGGACAGGGTGCTGTATCATGTATACTTGCACAGGCCAATACTGAGTTTAGACAGTTCACAGTTGGATGCCGAAAGTTTGAGCAATGTGCCGCTGCGTGCAGTACGTCCCAGCAGTGTCCAAGTCTCGCATTGGAGTACTCTGATGATGGTCAGTGGCTCAGAGCACCTCGAACTTGAAACAAGACAGTGACATCAGCTCAAATGTCTCATAACTTAGGAACTGTTTGGAGCCGGCGCCACGACTATGGCACGCCCGCGATGTTATGAGCGGGCATGTTTAGATGGTGCAGAGCATGGAGCTGGCTGTGTCAATATTAATATTCCAGTACTTGCATTTGCATGCTGAGCTTTACAGGTTCTACAGGTCTGACCATCGGCGAAAGCTCTCAACTGGAGGCGAAATGCACCCCCCCACACGTCGACTGACGCTGCAAAGCGCAGGCCGATATGGATGCGAAGTTCGTTGCCGAGGACGGGAGCCAAAAGACACAGCCAGAACAGAACATGAACCACACCTTACCATTCGCAGGCGACTTGGCGCTGTGTTCTCTCATTTTCCCCACATGGGAAGTTAGTTGATGGCAGTAGATGATCTCGTGCCAATCGAGCCACACTCAAAACTAGGGGATTGGTGAAGGTTAGTAAGGGACAATCCCCTGGCCATAAGTAGCTGCGGATATCCGCCTTCTTAATTCTTGGAGCATGGTTCTGGGTCGACCATCTGAATACCAGGCTTTGATTATGAAATGATGATTCACATGTTGCTTTGAAAGCGAAGGACGTGTTCGAACACCACCCACTTTCTGCATCTTTGTGCGGCTAGGAGGTCTTCGTGGAGGAACGATTTGCTTATGTGTGGCGGATAACGCCAGAACCTTGGGTATTCACTAGACTTGCCATGGGAGCTACGGTCTCAATGCGTACTTCAAGACATGTTTCGGGAGGTGGCTGAGGTGTTCATTCTTTCTCCGCCAAATCCGCTTGGCAAAAGCCATGGTTGCCGATAGATACAAGGGTGGCGTGGTGCCGGATGTTGTCCATTTGCAGTATCATGCAATTCCGAGACCCAGGTGCATGCAGGAGATGAGAGTTCCGCTTGAGCCTTTGCACCGACGGCGGCTTCTAGCGCGTTCAGCGCTTCAGCGCTTCAGCGCTTCAGCGCGCGGCGAGGTGGAAAGTGCGCGAGTTCAACTTTTTCGACAACGAGGCCATTGGGAAGTGGGCCATCTGGATCGCTTTGGGACCTGGTGCCGCCGATAGGTACCGATAAAAGGGCGCCGACCGAATTTTTGGGTGTGGCACAGAAAAATGAAACAGCTGAGTCACACTCAAAACCAGGGGATTGGTGAAGGTTAGTAATCCCAACCATGAATAGCTGCAGCCGCCCTCTTAATTCTTGGAGCATGGTTCTGGGTCGACCATTTTAATACCGGGTGTTGATGACTCAGCTGGGGTTACGCAGGTGTTGGTCTTTGTTTCCATATACCAAGGTGCCATTGTTGAACATGTGTTTGAGCAATTTCACAAACCTTCCTTTACAAGCTGCTTGAGTGTAGCAGCCCGGCAGGAGTGCTCCAATTCTCTTCGAGGGGCTGCCACATGCTCAGAATTTTCAGATTTGTTTGCCTTTGCTTGTATGAAAAGCGTCCATAGCGAATCGATTTCCCTGGCCATATGTTCTCTTGTTTGCCTGGGGGCGTATTCGATGGATGCAAAGCTTCCTGCAAGTCGCAGTCTTCCCAAGGTCACCGACATCCTGGAGTCTGCACCATCGCAACTTGGGCTGCACACTCATTTGGGGTTGGCTTTGTTTGAGGATACCCTTCTTGGTTGGTTTTAAAGCAGCCAAAAGGAAACCGAAGATGGACACACCCATTTTTGGTGGGGACACCCATTTGAATGATGTTGTTTTCTGAGATGTTGTTTTCTGAAGACTGCGGACTATTTGCTGTTGAAGAGCCCCAGTCTGACCATAATGTTTTGCACACGACGAGGATAACTTGCATGAATGCCAGAGGACGTGGCCACCCGGCAATGCGTACGACCAGAGCGAGAGCACGATCTGGCGGGGCCTGATTGCTCGATGTTGTTGTTTTGTTCTTTTCTTTTTGTTACAAGAACTTGCAGGGATCAAGACATGCTTTGCTTTTACCATAACTAGCAGGGATCAAGACATGTTTTTGTTGTTTTTTGCCCAGAACTTGCAGGGATCAAGACATGTGTTTTTTGTTAACCAGAACTTGCAGGGATCAAGACATGCTTTTTTAACCAGAACTTGCAGGGATCAAGACATGGTGTTTCTTCTTTGTTTTAACCAGAACTTGCAGGGATCAAGACATGCTTTTTTTAACCAGAACTTGCAGGGATCAAGACATGCTGTTTGTTTACCACAACTTGCAGGGATCAAGACATGTTGTTTTGTTTTTGCCAGAACTTGCAGGGATCAAGACATGCTTTTCTGTACCAGATCTTGCAGCGATCAAGACATATTTTTTACCATAACTTGCAGGGATCAAGACATGGTTGTGTTTCTTCTTTTAACCAGAACTTGCAGGGATCAAGACATGCTTGTTTTTACCAGAACTTGCAGGGATCAAGACATGTTAAAAGAAAAGAAAAAGGAACTTGCAGGGATCAAGACATGTTTTTTTAAGCAACACAAGACATGCTCTTTTTTACCAGAACTTGGAGGGATCAAGACATGTTTTTTTAACCAGAACTTGCAGGATTCAAGACATGCGTTTCTTTACCAGAACTTGCAGGGATCAAGACATGTTGTTTTGTGTTACTTTCAGGCATCAAGACATGTTTTGTGTGTTTTTATTATTTGCCAGAACTTGCAGGGATCAACGCATTTTGTTTGTTAGTTTCAGGGATCAAGACATGGTTTTCTCTTCCTTTTTTTTCAGAACTTGCAGGGATCAAGACATGCTTTTCCTTACCAGAGCTTGCAGGGATCAAGACATGTTTTATTTATTTTTTACCACAACTTGCAGGGATCAAGACATGTTTTTGTTTACCATAACTTGCGGAGATCAAGACATGTTTTTTGTTATCAGAACTTGCAGGGATCAAGACATGCTTTGTTTACCAGAACTGGCAGGGATCAAGACATTTTTTGTTGGTAGCCAGAACTTGCAGGGATCAAGACATGCTTTTTTTAAATCAGAACTTGCAGGGATCAAGACATGCTTTTTAATCAGAGCTTGCAGGGATCAAGACATGCGTTTGTTTACCAGAACTTGCAGGGATCAAGACATGTTGTTTTTTTTACCACAACTTGCAGGGATCAATATGTTTTTCTTTTACCAGAACTTGCAGGGATCAAGACATGTGTTTGTTTTTTTTAAACTAGAACTCGCAGGGATCAAGACATGCATTTTTTACCATAAGTTGCAGGGATCAAGACATGTTTATTCTTCTTTGTTTGAACCAGAACTTGCAGGGATCAAGACATGCTTTTGTTTACCATGATTTGCAGGGATCAAGACATGTGTTTTTTGAACCAGAGCTCGCAGGGATCAAGAAATGTATTTTTTTAGCCAGAACTTGCAGGGATCAAGACATGCATTTTATTTTACCAGAACTTGCAGGGATCGGATCAAGACATGCTTTTCAACCAGAGCTTGCAGAGATTAAGATATGCTTTTGTTTACCATAACTTGTAGGGATCAAGACATGTATGTTTTTAGCCAGAACTTGCGGGCATCAAGACATGCTGTTCTTTACCAGAACTTGCAGGGATCAAGACATGTTATTTGTTTCTTTTAACCAGAACTTGCAGGGATGAAGACATGTTTTTTTTACAAGAAATTGCAGGGATCAAGACATGCTTTGTTACCAGAACTTGCTGGGATCAAGACATTGTTTGAAACCAGAACTTGCAGGGATCGTGACATGCTTTTCCCTACCATAACTTGCAGGGATCAAGACATATTTGTTGTGTTTCTTTCAGGGATCAAGACATGTTTTTTAGTTTTGTTTTGTTTTTTGCCAGAACTTGCACGGATCAAGACATGTTTTTGTGTTACTTTCAGGCATCAAGACATGTTGTTCTTTCTTTTTTTTACCAGAACTTGCAGGGATCAATACATTCTTTTTCTTTACGAGAACTTGCAGGGATCAAGACATGTTTTTTTCTTTACGAGAACTTGCAGGGATCAAGACATGCGATTCATGCAGCACAGTGTGTTTTACCATAACTTTTAGGGATCAAGACATGTTGTTGTTGTTTTTGATTACCAGAACTTGCAGGGATCAAGACATGCAATTCATGCAGCGCAGTGTGTTTTACCATAACTTTTAGGGATCAAGACATGTTGTTGTTGTTTTTGATTACCAGAACTTGCAGGGATCAAGACATGCAATTCATGCAGCGCAGTGTTTTTTTCCCAGAACCTTTAGGGATCAAGACATGTTTTTTCCAGAACTTGCGGGGATCAAGACATGCGATTCATGCAGCACAGTGTTTTTACCAGAACTTTTAGGGATCAAGACATGTTGTTGTTGTTTTTGATTACCAGAACTTGCAGGGATCAAGACATGCAATTCATGCAGCGCAGTGTTTTTTTCCCAGAACCTTTAGGGATCAAGACATGTTTTTTTCCAGAACTTGCGGGGATCAAGACATGCGATTCATGCAGCACAGTGTTTTTACCAGAACTTTTAGGGATCAAGACATGTTGTTGTTGTTTTTGATTACCAGAACTTGCAGGGATCAAGACATGCAATTCATGCAGCGCAGTGTTTTTTTCCCAGAACCTTTAGGGATCAAGACATGTTTTTTTTCCAGAACTTGCGGGGATCAAGACATGCGATTCATGCAGCACAGTGTTTTTACCAGAACTTTCATGCGGCACAGGCGGACTCAATGCGGTGAGTGTGATGGCACGAGCGATTCTTGTGCCTGCCAGCTTGGGCCTCGGAGTCCTCGCGTGACGTCGCTGCTCGATACGCAGATGGCCAAGGCCTGGTGAAGCCTACATCGGTGCGAGGCGTTCTGCTTGAGTCGGAGCATTGAAAAATCACTTGAGGAATGCAACTTTCTTCATTATGCCATGATGTGTGGGACAACAAGCGCCCACGTTGTAGATTGATCTTGAGTTTGCGACAACCTCGACAGTGTAGGAACGGGCAACTGGGGCGGCAAACAGAGGTTTTGCATAGGGACATTGGCCTTGACTCTATTGACAGATATTGACAGGTTTCTCCGAAGGGTGCGACCACGATGCTTTAGCGTGACGCAGTTGGAGGCGGATTGAAAGCAGTCGGCCAGGAATTTGACAGGTGTCCCTATTATTTCCCTTTTTGGTGGTTTTAAACATCACCTTCTTGACCCGTGAAACCGATGAGTGTTTTTGGGGGTGGGGTTTTAAGGGAAAAGAAATGGGGAGCCCTGTTCGAGTAGTCTTTGCAACTCCAGGAGAACCGAGGCCTTTGCAACAAGCTCGCCATCCACTTCAGCGCCCAGCTGAGTTTCTCTGAATCTGACACCGGCCACGTCTCAGCACAAGCTGAGGTGACGACACTGGACAGGTTCAATCCTGGACTTTGAGGAGTGCATTTGATTTCGCTGTGTCCTTTTTTTAGGGACACCCTAGTTTGGTTGCTTGTTTTTTTTGGGGAAGCCCAAAAAGGAAAAAACCAGCATGTTGGGGTGTCCAAGCATTTAGAAGAGACACCCCCCATCCTGACGTACCTGTAGATGCCTTCTTGTTTTTTTGCGTCGAGGAGGACCTTCGATGAGGTTGGTCCGAATGTGTGGGGTGTGCTGCCACCGAGAGCATCTCTGGAGATGAACCAGGCCCAGTTCGCTCCGCGTCCGCGCGTCCGCCTCATGCCTCCGAGCGCCGGACGTCTTAAAAATCCGACGCTTCGTCGAGCTTGCTTCAGGGCGCCGGTGCGGGCCTGAGCCGGATCTTTGGGATGGGGTTGATCAATATTCCACGTAGGGCCTCCTGTTTTGACCATGGGTCACGTTTTTTCCCAGGTGGGATTTATTTGGGCATCCCATGTATAGGACCTTTTGATCAACCCCATTTCTCAGTGCAATGCCCCTCAGCATACGTTTCTGGACCAGGACAATGTGGTTTGGGTGCCGCTGCGGCCGTAGTGCTGCTGACGGTCAATTGCTTTCAGGCATGACATTTGGGGCTTCCTTGTCTACCGATTCAATGTGTTGCACGCACCATGCCAAAAGCCAGTAACACACTTCCCAAAAAGCAGAAGCATGTCTTTGTGCCATTTTTACTTGAAAGCTTGCCCATACGGCAGGTCAGCCATAAGTCCTACAATACCAGGTGTGATGATGAGCATGCTGCTGTCAGTACCAATTCCACTCCAAAGGAGCCGGAACTTGAGCGGAGGAGCCAATCAGCTAGCA